GCGGTGACACCGCTGGTGGAAGGGGACGCGAAGCCGGACTGCTTCTGCTGCTGCTGCTGCTGCTGCTGCTGCTGCTACGAATCTGGTGCTGCTGCTGCTGCTACTGTGCTGCTATTGCTGCTGCTGTTTGTGTGTGTGTGTGTGTGTCTGCTTGCAGCTGCTGCCTACTGCTGCGTTTTCTCCTGAGGGGCGTTTGGTTTGTGTTGCTGCAGCAGCAAGACAGCGGCGTGTTCGTGCTGCAGCGCAGCATTTTGATGTCTCCTTTTTGTCTTCTCTCCGCAGCAGCAACTACACTGTCTCCTCTCTCGTTTCTCGCTGTCCCCCCAACGATGGGGATCGTCTCCTCTGGATCGATGATGAGCCCCTAGAGACTGTGCTGCAGATAGCTGCACATACACTCCATCATGTAACATGTCTCCTGCTGCTGCTCCTGCTGCTGCTGCTGCTGCTGCTGCTTATGTCGTGCTGCTGTTGCTGCTGCTTGTGTCTTGCGGCTGCTGCTGCCTATTTGCCGCCGGTGCTGCTGCTGTGCTGCTAAGCTGCTGCTGATGCTGCTGCTGATCTGCTGCTGTTGGAGGGCCAAGCTGCTGCTGTTTCTGTTGTTTTTCTGCTGCTGCTGCTGCTGGTGCTGCTGCTGCTGGCGCTGCTGCTGCTGCTGCGGTTGATGCATATATGCTTGGGTATTAACATGTCTCCTTTGCTGCAGGAGACATCATCTGCTGCAGCAGCAGCAGCAGCAGCAGCACCACTGGACTTTGTTAGCGGGATCGGGGAGGAGACACCGGAGGAGACGATCCTCCCCACGTGGCTCTCAGACCCCTTCGCGGGCCTCAGAGCGGTGAGGGGCCCAATCAACTGTCTCCTTTTGTCTCTCTGCTGTCTCCTTTTGTCTCTTTGCTGTCTCCTTTTGTCTCTCTACTGTCTCCTTTTGTATTTCGAGTGTCTCCTTTTGTCTCTCTAGTGTCTCCTTTTGTCTCTTTAGTGTCTCCTTTTGTCTCTCTAGTGTCTCCTTTTGTCTCTCTACTGTCTCCTTTTGTCTCTCTACTGTCTCCTTTTGTCTCTCTACTGTCTCCTTTTGCCTCTCTACCGTCTCCTTTTGTCTCTCTACTGTCTCCTTTTGTCTCTCTACTGTCTCCTCTTATCTCTGTAGTGTCTCCTCTGTCTCTCGCTGTCTCCTTTATGTCTAACTGTCTCCGTTTTTCTCTTTTTGTTGTCTCCTTTTATGTCTTTGGTGTTTCTTTTTGTTTTAGTGTCTCCTTGTTTGTCTTTGTTTTTGTCTCCTTTTTTATTTATTTATTTATTTATTTGTTGTCTCCTTTATATATTAAGTGTCTCCTTTTATATCTTAGTGTCTCCTTTATGTCTCTTTAGTGTCTCC